AGATTGTCAAGGAGGAGCGGTCTCACAAGAAGGGGTGTGGGGCTTCAGGCCCCCAACACACTTGAAGCTATTAAATTAATAAACATTAAAAATCCACTAGGAAGACAGTGCAGTTCACCACAAAGAATGTGGGCGTTGGAACCCAGACCATCCCAGACTCTGATCCCAGCTCTACCTCTTAATACCTTATCCCCTGCATAACCTTACACAAGTGCTTTAACCTCTCTGGGCCTTAGTTTCTTCATATATAAAAATTTAACTCACATCACTTCCTGGTTGTGAGGTTTTTATTTGTTTTTTTTTTTTTTTTGTCCTTTTTGAGACCAGCTGCACCGTGCTCAGCCAGTGAGCACTGTGAGCGCACCGGTCATCCCTATATAGGATCCGAACCCACGGCGGGAGCACTTCTGCACTCCCAGCGCCGCACCCTCCCGAGTGCACCACGGGCTCAGCCCTGGTTGTGAGGTTTAAATGAGGTAATAAATCAAGAGAACCTAGCACCATGCCTAGAACTTAAAGAGCTAGAAGACATCATTTCCTTCCTCCTTACCTGCTACAGCCTTTCCCACATGACTTCTGCCTTATGTTCCCTCCTTTTAATCAGAACCATACAACAGCAGAACCCTTTGAAATACTTCTTAAAGATTTTTTCTCCTAAAGCTTGGTTCCTCTTCACTACATGCCTTTTTAGAAAATAAACGCAAAATGATTACCTGTAGCACCTAATGCGTGCCTCAGCCCAGCAGCAATACAAACAACCTTCTCTTTCAGGAGCTGTCAAAATAAAGAAAAGGGTTTAAATCTTAGAATCATTCATTTACAAAATTTTGTGTAATTTATGACCAAATACAACGCAGCATGGTCCTCCTTATGTGTATGACTGGTTTAAAGCGCTCCCCACACACACACATTTCAACCCATAAATACCTCTACTTTTATCCCTAAAAGAAAAAAGCCTTTTTAAAATACCATATCATAATACCCTCTCAGGGTTGGGAGGGTCATCCAGTTCAGGAGCTGGTAAATGTTTTCTGTAAAGGGCCAGATAGCAAATATTTAGACTTTACAGGCCATACAGTTTCTGTCACCCTACTCATCTCTGCCATTGTAACACAAAAGCAGGTATAGACCTTATATAAATGAATGAGCATGGCTGCGCTCCAACAAAATTTTATTTACCAAGGGCTCTGGTTTTCCCACCCCTGATCTAGTCCAATTGCTATCCAATGCTAGAAACCCCTCCACAACATCCCACCAAGTGGCTGTCCAACCCCTGCCAAACACCTACCTCCAGTGACACAGGGCTCATCATCTCCTCAGGTGCCTGTTCCATCTTTGCATAGTCCCATTTATTTCTTTAGGTGGAGCCAAACCTATCTGCCTATAGCTTCTGACAGCGCTTTCCAAATATTTGAAGACAGTTGTCATGTCCTCTCTGAGACATCTTGTGGTGGTTTTAAAAATAGGTCCTTCAATTCTTTGATACTCCTCCCTTCAAGATGTGGAGCTTAATTTTAATGCCCTCCCCTTGTGTGGGCTGGACTTAGTGACATGCTTCTAATGAAAAGAATAAAGAAGCAATGAGTCACTCAGAGACTAGGTGATAAAAGGCACTAAAGCTTCCTACTTGGTATCTCTCTCTCTCTCTGTCTCTCTCTCACAAATCATAGTCCCATAGACAGGAGGCCCACATGGCAAGGAAGTGAAGCTTCCTGCCAACAGTCACATGACAGAGCCTGGAAATGGATCCACCAGCCCAGTTGAGCCTTCAAAGACAGCATGCAGACCCAGCTGACATCCTGACTGCAACCTCATGAGAGACCAACTAAGCTGTTCCTAGATTTCTGATCCTCAGAAACTGGAGATAATAAATGTCTGCTGTTTTAAGCGGACTGTGTCTGCTGTAATTTGTTACACAGCAATACATAACTAATGCAGCTCTCTTCTTTAGGCCAAATATCCCCAGATCCATCAGTCATCATGAGGTCCCAAATTCTCTCCCCTTCCTGGTTTCTCTCCTCTAAATATGCTCTGGTTGCTCAATCTTTCTCTTTTAAAGGGTCTGTATATGCATCAATCACAGCCCCTTGGAGTTTTATCATTTTTATTTATTTATAGGTCCACAATGTCTTTCTAAACTTTAGGAACCTCAAGGGCAAAGCCTGATTCTTATTCACCTTTATGCCCAGGGCCTAAGCATCAAATCCACAACAGAACACAACATCCCAGATGCAGCCTGTCCAGCACAAGGGACAGAACTCTGGCCTTCCTGCTTCTGCAGACTATACTTCTGTCAGCGGATTCCATGATCACATTAGCTTTGGGGAAAATCAAATTTTACTACTAATACAATTTGAACATACTGTCCTTTAAATTTTTTCCTTATTTTTTTTTCCAAAATTAACTTAAGGGCTTTATGTGTGGACTCAGTCTCTTCAACACTATTCATCTCCATCTCTTCCTCTCTGTTCCCACTGCTGCTGCTTTAATTTGGGCCAGGATCATCTCTTGTCTCGATTATTAGCAAGAGTTTCCTAAGTAGTCCTCCTTCGATCCATCCTCCATGTTATCCTATCTGGCCCCTTCCTAACATGCTGTTCTTACCATTTGTTACTACTATCCTGATTTCCCCCCTCCCCACTTACTCCACTCTGGCATGTCCACCACTTCTTTATATTCCACCCATACTAAACTGTTACAGTATCCCAAACCCTCCTGTCTTCTGCTTATATACCTTTGCTTACATGGTTCCTTCTGCCTAGAATGCTCTTCTTTTGCACCTATTCTGTGCACCCTCCTATCCCAAGCCAGGTAAACTTCTACTCAACTTTTAAGACTTAGCTTAAGCCTGTTCTCACCCCCACCTTTCCCTAGATAAGAGTTTAACACTCTCTCCCTTGGGGCTATACATGCATCTATCATAGGTCTAACATGCTATTGCATTTAGGTATTTATGTGTCTATTATGTACTACTAAACTATAAGACTCTCAAATGCTAGGACAGATTTGATTCACCTTTGTCTCTACTGCTTAAACACAGTGCCTACACACAATAGTTGCCATTAAATAAATGAATGAATTTCTAGTATATTTCACTTTGGCACATTCCTCCCATTGTTCCACAGAATGCCTGTCAAAATATTTTCACTTCCTGACACTGTCATATAACATATTTTAACCATTGTTCCTCTCTGTCTTCTTTAATTATATGACTTATAATTAAGCTAAATTAATTATAACATATGTAGGTTCTTACAAGGCCATTTATTACAATTGGGAGCTATAACACTTCCTACATCAGGGACTACAGAGCCTAGACTTGTGTGCATAGCACGGGAACCATTACCCCAAGTAACACTCCAAAGACTAGCAATCGAGTTCAGCAAGATGACAGGAGAAGCCCCAAGCTCTCTCCAGTGAAAACAGATCTCCCAGTCTTACTCAGAGCTTAGGGAAATTACACAGGATTGGGGCAGTTTAGGTGTTGAAACTCATTTTAGATTCTAACATATTTCTTTAATAATTCCATATTCTATTGTGATAATTTACAGTATAGACTTCATAAAAATGTATCCATTTCAAATACAATGCACTAAAAGAGCTCTGAACTAGGGCCAAGAATCCTGTTTAACACTTGTGCCGTCCAACACGGTAGCCACTAGCTACATGTGGCCATTGAACACTTGAAATGTAATTAGACTGAGACACAGTGTAAGTAAAAACTGTACACCAGAGTTCAAAGACTTACTACAAAATAAAGAATATAAAATTACCTCATTAATAAATTTTATATTGATGCCATGTTAAAATGATAATAGTCTGGATACACTGGATTAGTTAGTTAAAAAGTTATTAAAATTAATTTCACCTACATGCTACAACAGGGATAAAATTTGAAAATACCATTTGAAGTGAAAGAAGCCAATCACAAAATGCCACATATGCTGTGATTTCACTTAAATGAAATACCCTGAACAGGCAAATCCATACAGACGGAAAGTAGATTAGTGGTCACCAGGGGCTGGGGTAGGGGAGAATGGGAAGTGACTGCTATCAGGTACAGTTTCTTCTGGTGGTGATGAAAATGTCCTAAAATTAGATATTAGTGATGGCTGCTCATCTCTGTGAATATACTAAAAACCACTGAATTATACATTTTAAAAGGATGAATTTTATGGTATGTGAATTATATCTCAATAAAGCTTTATTTAAAAAATTAATTTCCATTCCTTTGGATATATAACCAGCAGTGGAATTGCTGGATCATATGATAGATCTATCTGTAGTTGTTTAAGAAACCTCCATACTGTTTTCTGTAACGGCTGTGCTAGTTTATAGTCCCACTAATAGTGTAGAAGAGTTCCCCTTTCCTGCGTCCCCACCAGAATTTGTTATTCTTGGTCTTTTTAACAATGGCCAATCTAACTGGAGTGAGATGATATCTCAATGTGGTTTTGAATTGCATTTCTCTGATGACTAGTGATGCTGAGCACTGAAAGGATACCTGCATTCCTATGTTCAATGCAGCTCTATTTACAATAACCAAAATATGGAACCAACCTAAGTGTCCATGGAGAAACGACTGAATAAAGAAAACGTGGTATATATACACAATGGAATACTACTCAGCCATAAAAAAAGAATGAAATCCTGCCATTTGCAGCAACATGGATGAGTCTGGAGAAAATTATGTTAAGTGAA